TGCTGGCGTCGCTTCGACTCTTCTGACGCCTCGACTTCGTACTCGGTAGAGTCGGCTCCTGCAGCATACAGGAATGCCTTCTCATTGAATTTCATATCGGAAAACTCCCCTTCATTCTTGGACGTGCAGAGGGCTGACTCGCTTGACTACTCCGGTGAGGTCGGAGCAGTGTTTGTACTGCTGACGTGGCAGTCGCTTGGTGAGGAAGTCGGCTGCGATCTCAGTAGTGGGGCAGTACGCGAGGTCAACCTTGCCCTGGTCAATTTCGTCCTTGACGAAAAAGTATCGGAATGCAATGTGCTTCGTGCGGTTCACGGACCCCGGCTAATTCGCGATCTTGATAGCACTCTGGTTGTCGCGCTGAAGGCGAAGGGTAGGCGAAGTTGGAATTTTCATTTCCTGCAACAGCTCCTGCAGGTACAGGCCTTCGCGAACTGCTGCTGTCGCGGCAATGTACTCTGCTTCGGCTGATGACAGGGCAACCAGTTCCTGCTTCTATGAGTTCCAGGAGATCGGTCCAGTTGGTTCCAAGCGGAAGACAAAGCCGGTTCGGGACCGTCGATTCGCAGGGTCAGCGGCATGATCTGCGTCCACGTAGCCGTTGAGGGTGAAGGAGGTCGTCGTCAGCGTGGAGTAGGAGAGCCCTATGTCAAGTGTGGAGATGAAGTACTACAGGGCACGCTCCAAATCCAGCTGGTTCTCAACTATTGGCTTGCGGGAGTGTTGTCCCAGTTGGCAAGCGATGTACGAAAGGTCGGGTCGGCATGTGACAGAGGCGAACAACAGGCACCCCAATTTCTGCTGGTACAGTTGGAGTCTTGCGGGTGACAGAGGTTTGTTATCCGGTTTGTAGTTGGCGCTAGGGTTGCGATAAGGAGTGGAGAGTGGTGCGGGTGAAATGTTGAAGCGTTCCCCCAGCTGCTCTGCGTACTTGGAGGCTGACAGATGAATTGCTTCTGGCGCGTAGGTGATGTTCAGCCCCAAGAACTGCGTGACGTTGTAGTTGATGGTGATGTCCACGCGCTGTGCCAGGTTCTCTTCGAATTGGAGCAGGAGTTTGTTGCAGGTGCCGGTGTAAAGCAGGTCATCGATGTAGACTGTCAAATGGATGTAATCGCTGTTGAAGTGGAGGCGTTACACTCCCGGGTCGTGCGGCAGCTGCCTGAAGCCGATTTCGAGTAGGATTTTGTGCAGGTGCTGCTGCCAAAGACGCGGCGCCTGTTTTATCCCGTAGAGGGATTTCTTCAGCTAACAGACCCTGGGGTCTCCTTCTCCGTAGGTGTGTGGCTGTTCCACGAAGATGGTTGCATCCACCAGCGGGTACAAAAACGCGTTCTTGACGTCGATCTGCCGTAGTGGTACGTGCTTGGCGGCAGCTATGGCGAGTAGAATCCTGACGGAGGTATGACGACTGATGGGAGCGAAGGTTTGATCGAAGTCAATACCGTGGCGCTGGTCGTACCTGCGTACGACCCAACGTGCGTTAAAGCGCTCGATAGTGCTGTCAGCGTTGGTTTTCAGGCGAAGGACCCACTTTCTGCTTAGCACCCTCCTCCCCCTCACTGCTGCACGACCGCCGAGAACCCAGGTGTCACGCGATTCCTGGGCCTTTAGTTCTGTGTCCATAGCAGCACGCCACTCCTTTGCGTGAGGACCAGTTAGGGCTTGACGCGGATTCTTGGGCTCGACGGCGCGCGTGAGAGTAGTGACAGACGTGTGAAGGCCGAGGAGTTGTAGGTCAGACACATTGGTGATGTCTGCAGTGTCTCTAATGGGGACTTCCACCACGTCATCATCGTCACTTTCGTTGTCTTAGATTGGCGCCGTGATGGTCTTGGCGCAGGGGTATTGTCGTTGTCGTTATTGTCGTCATCGTCGTTGCGTAAAGGAGGCGGTGCGCTGGGATGTTCATCAGCGGGGTCACGGTCGAGTGCTGCTGCTGCTGCCTCGTCTTCTGGAGGGTGATGCAAAGCTGCGGCCGCTGTTGGCGTAGGCGCGGGCGACGTTGCGGCATTCGTCCTCGATCCACGGGTGGAAGGTGAGACGTTCGTAGAAGAGGATGTCGCGCGTAGGAGCGATCTGGTTGGTGCGGATCTCGGGATTAGCCAGCCCTAGTACTCGTGACTGAATCCCAGGTGGACTCCCCAGCGTGCGCGGTGAGTGAATTTGCCTATGGTGGCCGAAGTCGGTCGATATTGCACCACACACCCCCAAACTCTTAGCATGGAGGTATCTCCCCTTGAGCCGGTCCATTTCATGTGCGGGGAGAGGTTGCCCCTGTTGGCCGTGGTGGAGAGGAGGTTGTGCAGGCGCACGGCGTGGTTCATGGCATACGGCCAATACTTCTTGGGCAGGCCGGACTGGTTCATGAGGGCGCGCACTTTTGTCATGAGAGTGCGATTGACCCTCTCAGCGACGCCTTGCTGTTGGTGAGCGTAGGGGAGAGAGAACTGATTCTTAATCCCCCGACAACACTTTCCAGCTCATGGTTCCGCAACTCCTTGGCGCCGTCAGTCTGCCAAATTTTCAGCTTCTTTCCCGATTGCCGTTGCGCGTGTGCAAGCCAGATGCAGAAGACCTCAGGAGCTTTGGAACGAACGTCGACGTTGGCGATCCAAACGTAGCGAGAGTTTGCGTCCACGAAGGTGGGTGTGTATTGTCAGAATCCCAGCCACTAACCACTGGGATAAAAGGGCTTGTTTGTATAGCGGGTGAGTGCGCCCATAACCCCCCAGGCCGACGTGCCTGTAACCCTTCCCTAGGATCATCGGGGATCCCCAGTGGACCTCTGACACCCCCCCGCACTGGGATGCCCGAGGTGCACACACCGGGAATCGAACCCGAGACCTTCGCTCTGATAACATGTCAGAATCCCAGCCACTAACCACTGGGATAAAAGGGCTTGTTTGTATAGCGGGTGAGTGCGCCCATAACCCCCCAGGCCGACGTGCCTGTAACCCTTCCCTAGGATCATCGGGGATCCCCAGTGGACCTCTGACATGTATCGCTCGCCGTTGATGCCATCGGAGGTAAGCACGATGAAGTCGCTGTGTTTTTTCTGAAGCTTTTTGTAACGGTTGGTGCTGGGCTCCAGGGAGGGGTAGGCTTGGTGCGTGAGTGCTGCAATGGGGCAGATGGTGCAGGTAGTGGGGTGTGTTGTGCTAAGTGGTTTCGTGTCGTCGGGGCGCAGTAGTGCTCCTGGCAAGAAAACTTTGGTGCGGAGGCAGTTGTTGAACGTCTGGCACGAGGGATGACCGAGTCGCTGGTGCCAGAGGTCTTCGTCTGCACGAATTTCCGAGGTGCGCAGGTATCGTGCGTGATGCTCCGCCGCTTCTGCTTTTGTGACGTGAGAGATCAGAAGTACTGGTCCTTCTTCTGCTCCTGGTTTTGCTTTGTTGTCCGGCTCCTCTGCTTCTGCTTCTGCTGCCAGGTGCCGTTGTAAGATAGAGCGCGAGAAAGTTGCGGTCAGGGATGATGTTGAGCGGGGTTCTAGTGCCCTCAATGAGGCGGGCGAACGGATCCGGGCGGGAGATTGGTCCAAGTGAGTCACGGGGCGGAGTTGTTGGCACGTTCCTCCCCTCAATCTCCGACCGAGGATCCTCCCAGCGACGAGGTGAGCGAGGTGGTGATGGGAGTTAGCGGGGTCGGCGGCCAAGTGGGATGGCGACTCGTGGTGCAGGTTGCTCAGCCGTAATTTCTTTCTCGGTTTCCTCTATCTCTTCTCGGGTAAGCTCGCCTTTGGTGAGTTAACGTTGCTCTGGTTCTCCCCATCCATGAGCAGTGCCAGATGCCCCAGTGGCTGATCCCCATGTTGTGCCTGCGGTGCCACCGTTGTCATCGTCTCTCCAACCCCCACGTCATGCAGACTCTTCGTCCCATGCTGCCGCGATGCGCTCCTAGTACAAATTCTTCGGCCGTCCGTTTGGATGCTGCCATGACTCCCTGTCCATGAACAGGAAGTCCAGGGGGACGAGGTCAACAAGCTCGTCTGATGAAGCCTGGCAGTTGGGGATGTCGAAGTCCAGCATGTAGTCGCCATCCATCAATCGGGCTCTGCCAAGGTTTTTGTGCGACTCAGGGGAGTATTCGGGGGAGCATATCCTGCGCAACGCCCTTCCTCATGAGTGCTTTGCATCCCCCCCCGCTGTAATCCACACCCCCAGCAGGCATTCCGGCTCGTCCCGTGACGCCCATTTGAAGGGTGAAGTGACTGGTGGCGCCTCATCACGCTGCTTCCCCAGTGGCATCACCTGCGTCTTGTCCCGGTTCGCCGCAAGCCCCGACATCCGTTCAAAATCACTAAGCAGCGTCTCGGCTTTGCTCAACTGCTCCCGGCCCTTTAGCAGAAGGGTTTTGTCGTCCGCGCAGCCAAGGTAAGACAGCTTTCCCGCGTCCGCAATGTCTACTCCTAATTGCATCCGCTGTGCTCCTTGGCAGAGGGGCTCTACCGCATAGAGGAAGAGACAGGGCGCAAGCGGGCAGCCCTGCCTCACTCCCGTTTGCACCGGCACCTCCTCTCTCAGCCAACCGTCATTGTAGATGCGCGCTGCCGCCCCCTGGTGCAGCCCTTCCACCCATTTCACATACGCCTCCGAGAAGCCCATCCTCCGCAAGACCTCGAACAGGTAGTTCCTCGAGACAGAATCAAACGCCTTCCTGAAATCGACCAGGAGGAGGAGCCAATCTTCCTGCCTGGAGTTCGCCGCATCGATCGCATCCGCCGCAATCGCCACCGCTCCAGCAAGGCTCCTACCGGGTAAGAATCCAAACTGCCCCTTGGACACCACTTTCTCCAACCTGTGCTTTACTCTGTTCGCTAGAATTTTTGCAATGATCTTGTACGCCGTGCTCAGCCAAGTAATCGGGCGGTAGTTCTGCAGGTCCTCCTTATCCCCCTTCTTGTGCAGGAGCACCGTTACAGCCGTCAAGAATTCTGCCGCAAGCGACGCCGTCCGCTCAAATTCCTTCAAGAACTGCATCACATGGCCACCCAGCAAGCTCTACTGCGACTCCCAGAGCTTCTTCGGTAGCCCATCCCTCCCCGGGGTTTTGCCCGACGCCATTTCCACAAGCGCTAGCTTAACCTCGTCCTCCTCCCACGTCGCACTGAGTGCGGCTGCATCTTCCGGTGAGAACAGCCTATCCATTCTGAAATTTGGCGGCAGAGCTCCCGGCCGCGACTTGTCGTCAAACATGTCCGCGTAGAAGCTCGATGCCGCTTTCAGGGCCTCCTTCACACCCACAAACTGCTGGCCCCGAAAGTTCACTGCCTCTAGCCTTGTCTTCGCCTTTCTCGCTTTAACCTTCGCCGACAGGAATCCAGAGGGTGCTTCACCGTTCATCTCCACCTTGATCCTCGCTTGCTCTTGCAGCTTTTGCCGTCTCCCATCATCGCATGCCTTGAGCTTGGCCTCATACTTCACCAGCCTCGCCTTTGCCCTCGTGCACCAGGGCTTACTCATCACCTTCTGCCTCAGCTCCCCCACCTCCCTTTCCAGGTGCGCCGTTGTGGCTGCAACACGCTTCCTTTCTTCCATGCTGTACGCCTTAAGCCCAACCTTCAGGGAGTTTGTCAGAGCCTCCGCTCCTCATGCTTCTGTACAATAGATGACACCCGCCTCTGCACCCCAGGTCTTAGCACTTGCGATGCAGGGAGCCTCCACAGCCCAGGGCCAGCTTCCTTGTCACCCCCGACGCTATGCTGAATGCAAACTGCAAACCAATGATCGGTGAACATCTTGACCAGCCCCGTATGCCTCACTTCATGAGCGACTGTGACACCAGGATGTGGTCAATCCGCGTGCTTTCCCGTACAGCAACCGCAAAAAAGGTGTACTCCCGAAGGTAGGGATGAACGGCTCTGAACGCATCCCGAACGTCAAATCTGCTGCAGAGAGCCATCAGCCTGTCATTCTCCCCCCTTGTCCCGATGCCTGATTGTTTTTCTAATGCCGGATCCTCTACGATGTTCAGGTCCCCTGCAAGCGCCAAGTGGCTTCCGCTTTGAATCGCCGCTATGAATAGCTGAAGCACGTCTCTGAAGAAAAAGCCCCTCGCTGTTGGGTTTGAAGGGAAGTATGCTGCTACCACCACCACTACTACTCCTCTCCACGAGATTGTCGCCCTCACCAACCGGCCTGAGCGATCCTTAACTGGGTCTGAAAGAGTCACCTCTTTGTTGAGCGATATGATCGCCACCCCACCCGCTCTAGCAGCAGGTGAGACCGCAACCACAGACTGAGCTTGAATGTGTCAAACTCATATACTATAGTCTGTGTAGGCTGTAGTGGGGTAGCTCATATGGGGTACAACACTTTAGGGTTTGGTACTTGTACTCCTCATGCTGCTCAATGCACTCATTCCTCGTTCTCATTTTCACATGGTTTCAGAGCAGGTTCCCTAGTGGGAACTTTTCCTAGGGCCCACCCAAATCGAATTTTTTCTTTCCGCCCGGGGCGCGCGTCGCCCCTGCCCGAGGCGCGCTCGGTGTGCTGCCCTTACGCGGCCCGTCACGCCCTCCTCACGCTGCCTTACGCGACCCCTTCGCCGCCCTTAGCGGCCCCGTCGCCCCACCTTCGCGGCCCCGTCGCCGCCCTTAACGGCCCCGTCGCCCCTTGCGGCCCCGTCGCCGCCCTTCCGCGGCCCCGTCGCCGCCCCTTACGGCCCCGTCGCCGCCCCTTACGGCCCCATCGCCGCCCCTTACGGCCCCGTCGCCGCCCCTTACGGCCCCGTCGCCGCCCCCTTCGCGGCCGCGTCGCCGCCCCTTCGCGGCCGCGTCGCCGCCCCTTGCGGCCCCGTCGCCGCCCCTTCGCGGCCCCGTCGCCCCACCTTCGCGGCCCCGTCGCCGCCCTTAACGGCCCCGTCGCCCCTTGCGGCCCCGTCGCCGCCCTTCCGCGGCCCCGTCGCCGCCCCTTACGGCCCCGTCGCCGCCCCTTCGCGGCCCCGTCGCCGCCCCTTCGCGGCCCCGTCGCCGCCCCTTGCGGCCACGCCGCCGCCCTTCAGTGGCTCTGCCGCCCTTCGCGGCCCCGACGCCGCCCTACCGCAGCCTCGCCGCCGCCCCGCTGCGGCCCCGCCGCCACCCCTCACGGCCCTGAGACCGCCGAGCCGCCGAGCTGGCAACCGCCGAGACGCCGTTGCTGCAGTTGCCACCGAGCCGCCGAGCCGCCGAGCATCCGAGCCGTTGAGCCGCCGAGCCGCCGAGCCACCGAGCCGCTGAGCCGCCAAGCAGCTGTTGCCGCCGAGCCGCTGTTGCCGCCGTTGCCTCAGCCGCTGCAGCCGAGTTGCCGCCGTCCCTGCAGTCGCGGCCCTGTCCCTCCCGGCGAGCCTCGGCCCTTCTCGCCTGCCCGGTAAGAGCAGCGCCTCTGCCACTGCACTGCCCTTGCCTGCTGCTCTCACTGCTCGTCTACTGCTGTCATGGCCACCCCCAGTGTTCTCACCTTTGATGCTGAGGGTCGGGCTGTTGACTTTGAGGTCTGGCTCGATGATCTGCAGCTTTTCCTACAGTGCGATAGGGCAGACGGTCTCTCCCTCTTTGACCTCACTTCTGGTGCCTCTCCTTCCCCTGCTGCTGATGCTGACGCCACTGTTCGCTCACAGTGGGCCACACGCGATGCTGCTGCCCGCCTTGCTGTGCGCCGCCACTTGCCGACTGCTAAGACCTTGTACGACGCTGTAGTTGCACGCTACTCTTCCCCTGCCACTGCTGCGCTCAGCCGCCTCATACTGCCGTACCTCTTCCCTGACCTCGCCGCTTTTCCCACTGTCGCTGACCTCATTACGCACCTTCGCACTAGTGACATCCGCTACCGCGCTGCGCTTCCTGCTGAGTTCTGCGCCAAGAACCCCCCCCCCATGTACATCACCCTCTACTACATAGTCACCCGGCTCCCTGACACCCTTCGCTCGGTCAGGGACCACTTTCTCTCTGTTTGCCCCACCACTCTCACCGTTGACCTCCTCGAGGAGCGTCTCCTAGCAGCAGAGAAGAGCATAGTTGCTGTAGGAGCCTCTCGTGGTGACCCTCGTACCCCTGTCTTTGAGGGGTGCTCCCCCTCCCCCCTCTTGCCTTCTGTTGCCTCTGCTGCTGTGATCGACCTTGTTGGTCTTGAGTCGGTCGCTGCGGCGTCTACCTCTAGCGGGAGACGCCGCCCAGGCAAGGGCAAGGGGGGCAAGGGCGTTGGGGGAGCTGGCGGAGGCGGTGGAGGCGGCGGTGGAGGAGGCGGAGGGAGTGAGGGTGGTGGTGGGAGTGGTGGTGGGAGTGGGGGCGCTAGTGGAGGCAGCCGCGGCGGAGGAGGAGGCGGTGGTGGAGGTAGCGGCGGCGGAGGTGGAGCGGGTCGGGGCGGCTCTACGCAGAGGGTCGGCTCCGGTGGTGGTACGCGCCAGCAGCAGCAGCAGCAGCAGCGTACTCGTGAGACCCCTTCCCCCCAGCAGCTTCGTGAGTGGTACACTGCTCGTCAGCGGGGCGGGGGTACTGGCCCCTCCCACCCTCGCCTGCTCCTCCCTGTCTTCCCTGTGTCGAGGGGCGGCAGCGCGCCGCTCCTCACTCCTCCTCCTTTCCCCCGACGACTGCTCCCCTGCAGACGCTCCACATGGACGTGTGGGGCCCAGCCCGCGTTCGTGGACAGGGTCACGAGAGGTACTTCTTGATAGTTGTTGACGACTACTCGCGTTACACCACGGTCTTCCCCTTGCGCACCAAGGGTGAAGTCCCTGATGTTTTGATCCCTTGGATCCGCGCTGCTCGTCTCCAGCTCAGCGAGAGGTTCCACTCCGACCTTCCTGTCCTCCGTCTGCACTCTGACAGAGGTGGGGAGTTTTCCTCCGGCCTCTTGGCGGCCTTCTGTCAGACGGAGGGCATTGAGCAGTCGTACACGCTTCCGGCCTCTCCACAGCAGAATGGGGTTGCTGAGCGCCGCATTTGCTTTGTCATGGAGATCGCTCGTACCTCCTTGGTCCATGCGGCTGCCCCCCACTTTCTGTGGCCGTTTGCGGTCCGATACGCTGCACATCAGCTCAACCTCTGGCCCCGTGTCTCCGCTCCGGAGACTTCCCCGACACTGCGTTGGACGGGCAAGGTTGGCGATGCGTCACGTTTTCGGGTCTGGGGATCTCGAGCCTTTGTCCGCGGACAAGCTCTCCTCCCGCACTGTTCCTTGTGTCTTCCTTGGCTTTGTCCCGGACGCGTCTGGTTGGCAGTTTTACCACCCCACCTCGCGCCGTGTCCTGCCTTCCCAGGACGTCACTTTTGGTTTTGTCCGTCCCCTACTACCGCCTCTTCCCCTACCGCACTGCCCCGCTCCCCCCCCCGCCTCTCTTCCTCGCTCCAGGTGCTGCTGTGGTAGACCCCCTCCCCCCTCAGGGTGCCGCTCCCTCAGGTGTGTCCCAGGTAGACCCGGTTGAGCTTGTCAAGGTAGCTGTCGACTCTCGTCCTGCTTGGGGTACTGAGCCTGCGGGTGCTGAGCGTGAGGGTGCTGAGCCTGAGTGTGCGGAGCCTGGGGGTGCTGAGCCTGAGGGTGCGGAGCCTGGGGGTGCTGAGCCTGGGGGTGCGGAGTCTGGGGGTGCTGAGCCTGAGTGTGCGGAGCCTGGGGGTGCTGAGCCTGCGTGTGCTGAGCCTGGGGGTGCTACACCTGAGCGTGCGGCGCCTGGAGACCCTCCCTCCTCAGAGTAGCTGCTTGAGTGGTACTCGCGGTACTGCGGCCTTCAAACACCTAGGCGGGAGCTCCCCTCTCTCCAGCAGCTCCGAGAGTGGTACGCTCGGCGCTGCAGTCTCCGGAGTGGAGCTGCTGGCGCTTGGGACTCTGGCGTTGGAGCTGCTGCTGGTGCTGCGGACCCTGGAGTTGGAGCTGCTGCTGGTACTGGAGACCCTGGAGTTGGAGCTGCTGCTGGTCCTGCCGACCCTGGAGTTGGAGCTGCTGCTGGTGCTGCGGACCCTGGAGTTGGAGCTGCTGCTGGTGCTGCGGACCCTGGAGTTGGAGCTGCTGCTGGTACTGCGGACCCTGGAGTTGGAGCTGCTGCTGGTCCTGCCGACCCTGGAGTTGGAGCTGCTGCTGGTGCTGCGGACCCTGACGTTGGAGCTGCTGCTGGTGCTGCCGACCCTGGAGTTGGGGCTACTTCTGGTGCTGAGGACCCTGGAGCTGGCGCTGCTGGAGCTGCTGCGGGTGCTGGTGGTGTCTCTACTGGTTCTGGAGTCGCTGCGCGGCCCCGGCCGTACTTCGTTCCGCTCCTTCAGCAGGTTCTTGGTCAGCCTCCTCCTCCTTGTCCTGCTCCCTCCTTAGAGTGTCCTCAGCCTGTCCAGTCGCAGTCACAGTTACCGCCTGCCTCGCCACTCCCTGGTCCTTCTCCTTACACTGGTCCTACTGGAGGTCTTACGGAGCGTCGTGAGCCTGAGTCTCGTCCTGTGTCGCCTGCGTCTCGCTCTGCGTCACCTGTTCGTGCTGCTCGCACTGGTCGTCGTGTCCCACGTCAGCGTCCTCCTGCTGTCCCCGGCACTCACCAGATGCCGCTCCGTCCCTCCACTGCCCCTCAGCGTGTCCCTCTG